AAGGGTCAGGTCCCTTTTGCAAGGGGGCGGAGTGGGGGCTGGGAGCTGCTCATTGGAGTGTTTTCTGGCTGCCCCCCACCCCACCCCAGCCGTCTCTCCCCTGCTGGGGCCGCCCCCTCCCCCCGGCCAGGCTGGCGTGGAAGGGGAGCGGTCTGCTGCCGGACTGGGGTCTAAAGGTTGAGATGTGAAACAGGCACGGCCCCAGAGCAAATGTCCTCTGGCCCTGGGCAAACCTGCCTATAGGGGGCATGAGAACGGAGCTCGGTCTCCAGGGCTCGTCCCCTCCCGGGCTGCCCCACTGGGGCTGGCTAGTGCCACTTGGCTGGGTGGCTCAGAGGCTGGTGGTCTGGGCCTTCAGGGGACCTGGCATTGCTGGGTGACTGTGAGCAAGTCGCTCTGGCTCTCTGTGCCTCAGTTTCCCCACCCAGCCTTCATCTGTCTACCCAGATCGCGAGCTGTTTGGGGCAGCGACCGGCTCCTGGCACGGCAGGCCCCTGAGCCCGGCCGGCCCCTCTAGGCACTAGCGCGATCCGACACCCCGTGCTGCGGCCCCCTGAGGCCCGGCAGACTCGTTTCACAGGCCAGAATCGCCCCGGCTCCGCCCCGCTGGCCTCCAGAGGAAGCCGGCGCATCCCCGCTCCTGGCACGTCTGGAATGCGGCTGAGTCACTGCCAGCCGCCCCTCTGTTTTCTGCCATAACGGAAACCCTGCTGCTGCGTCTTTCTCAGCCCTGGGCGGCCTTGGCAGCTGCCAGCAGCTCTGTGGGTGTCGCCTGCTCCCCATCCACCCACCCACCCGGCTCTGCTGGGGGTGGGGGGAGCCGCTGTGATGAACGCAGGCCCCTGTGGCTCGCTCAGCCGCGGTCTGAGACAGCAGCTTCCTGCCTCTCGCCCCAGACGTGCGGCCTACAGGCCCCATGGGGAGCTGGCCCCACGGCCCGGCCCAAAGCCCGGGGAAGGGGGCAAAGGCTCCTGCTGGCTTTGGGTCAGGGCCGCCGGCGGGGAGGGGGCAATAGGGAACCCCTGGCCGAGCCCAGCCGGGGAAACCAGTTCCCCCACCTGGTGCAGGTGGAGCCCAAAGTTGGGGGAGGCTGAGGTGCCCCCGAGCTCCCGGCCGGGCCAGGTGCCGGGCGGGTGGTCGCTCGGCAACAGCTGCGTGACGGTAGCCGTGCGGGGCGCACCCGTGCTGGGCCCCTTGTGCGAAGCCGCACGTGCCTGGGGCGCTCCCCTCGACGGGCACGGCTGGGAGATGCTCCCCGTGGTACCAAGGGGGACGGGCAGCCCGGGCCGGAGCTGGGCTCTGCTGAGCCCCCGCCCGGCCCCGTAACCACGAGCCCCAGCTGGGCTCTGGCGCCAGGGCAGGTCGGTCCCCGGAACAGGCCCGGCAGGTTTGGAAGTGTCTCCCGGGCGGTGTTTGCTCTGTGGGGCGGAGCGCCTGCCTCCCCCCCCATGAGTGCTAGTTGAGTGGGGACATGGGGGGAAGGGGTTGTGTGTGTGTGGGGGGTGGCGCTGCCTGAGCCAGGCCTGGCGTCTCAGTGCCGGCATGGGGCACTTTCTCTGCGAGCCCTCCCTTGCACTGAGCGTGGGCCCCGAGCCGCCCTCAGCAGCAGGCCCCCTCCCAGGTCAGGCTTACTGTACAGAGGGGGAAACTGAGGCACAACAGGGCCCAGGGTGGTGGTGAGCTGGGAATAGAACCCAGGAGTCCTGACTCCTTGCTTGTACCCACGACTCTCCCCTCGGCGAAGGGGCGGGCGCTTGGCTTTAGCCCCGGCTCCTTCCAGCCAAACTCCTGCTTTAGCAGCTCTCCGAGCCGAGAGAGCTTCCCTCTGTCCTTCCTGCTGGGCGTGCCCCTGTTATCGTAGGGTCTCTCACGGGGCGGGGGTTGGGTGCTTGGCATGCCGGTTGGTTTTCGTTGGGTCTCTTATGCGGTGTGGGGGGGTGCTTGGCATGCTGGTTTGGTTTTGTAGGCTCTCTCATGGGGGCTGTTGGTGTTTTGGTTTTGCACTAACCCCCAGGCTCCTCTCTGGGCTCCCAACCCACCCCTTGATCCGATTCCCTGCAGGCGTCGTCCCCTCCCCTCCGGCTCACACAGCCAGCCTGTCCCCAGAGCTCAGCACGGTTGGTACCCCCCTGCCAGATCAGCCCCCCCCTTCCCAAAGACCTCCCTGGCCACCCCCTTCCCCAGCATCATTTCTGGGGGGGGCAGGTCCCCCCTTTCCCCAAGCTCTTGGTTTGTGCCTCTGACCACCGGCAGCTCATTAATCAGATGCTCTGGGAGCCCCCCCTTGGCCCCCCAGCTGTGGGATCTCTGCCCGCTGGGTCTCGTGGTTACTGCCCTGCACATGATCTGCGGTGGGACCAGCTCAGCGTTGTATCTGGGGCCTGATGCTTCCCTTGTGATGGACGAGGGAGGGGTCTAGTGGGGGGGTGGGGTTGGGAGCCAGGACTCCTGGGTTCTGTCACAGCTGGGGGAGGGGAGTGGGATCTACTGGTTGAAGTGGGAGGAGGTGGCCTACTCATCCCCCATATGGGAGGGCGCAGCCCGTGCCCCGCTGGTCCCCTCCCCTCTTGTGCCCGGCCCCATGTGCTGCTCTCTGCCTTCGCCTGCAAGGGGAGGAAGTGAAACAGCTTGTGGGAGGCTCTGGGCTCCTCTCGGCTGCTCCAGCTGCCACCCTACATGTCCCTGGTGCTGAGAGCTGACACAGTGGGGCAGGGTTTGGCTGGGGGCCAGGACAGCTCTGTCCCCCGGCATCAAACTGTCTCCTCCTGGGGCCAGGAGCACTCAGCCAGAGAACCCGGGACATCGGCTCTGCGTGCTGCTCGGATCCGGCCCAGAGCCTGCTCCCCGCCCGGACGCCAGCTCCAGTGTTCCTCGTCTGTGTCCATTCCAGAGCCCTTCACATGCTCGGTGCTAACAGGAAAATGCAGCCACCTCTGGGGTGGGACACGGGCTGTCTGTCCAGCGATCCCTCCCCCAGTGCTGAGATGCGGCTGCCTCTGGGGTGGGACATGCGGGCTGTCTGTCAGGGGGTCCCTTGCCCGGCTCTGAGGTGAGGCACTGCGGCCAGGGCACCATGCAAGGGAGAAGAGACCCTGGCCAGGGAGCGGGGCCATTCCCCTGCTCTTAGCGAAGTGGCTAGCGGGATTTCGAAGGGCTGGGCCATGCAGACAGGATGAGGCCTGAGCAGACCGACCCCTCCCCCCCCCCCCCACGCCAGGCCAGGCCTTTCCAGCTCCCTGCGTCGCTGTCACCAGGATGCTGACAGGGGAGTAGGGGCTGGACTCCGCGGGGTCCCCCCCCAGGGCACGCTCCCTTAGCCGATGGGCTCTGATGGGAAGGGGGAGGCCAACTCTGCGGCGTCCCCCCTTGATCCTAGCTGGGCATGTGGGGATCCTCCCTGTAAGTCATGCCCCCCCGAGGGGTCCCCCCAAGGTGTGAAGCCTTCTGCCCACTCCTGACTCCCCGGCGCCTTCTCTTCGCTGGGCTCCCGGTCAGATCCGTCTTTCCCCTCCCCCTCACCAGCTCCTTGGCCTCCAGTCACTGGCCCCCCAAACTAGCTCCCGGTCTCCCTGTCCCTCGAGGAAGCCAGGCCAGCTCGGCCCAGTTCACGGGGTCACGCCTGGCACTGGGGGCAGAGGGAGCTGGTGACCTCAGGGTGGTGCCCTCGTGGGTTTGGTTCATGCTGCCCCCACCCCGCAGCCGGATTGAGGGGGGAGGGCGGGGCTGCGGGGGGTGAACGTGTGAGACGGGTGTCCCGGGTTTCGCTTTGATTCGCCTCGCGGGGAAGCCGACGGGCCCCCGGCGGCCCCGCTTCCTGCCCTGCCAGCGGCACCGTGGGGGCACCCCAGCCCCAGCGGGCCGGCCTGCGTCTCTGTAACGCTGGGGGGTGACTTGTTCCACGGGGCGGGGGGCCAGGCCTCGTGCGCCGTCACGTTGCCCTGTTTTCCCCGTCGCCAGGCCGTGCCACGCTGCAGGCGAGAGATCCCCACAGAGCCCCATGGCCCAACTTGTGCCCCACGTCTCTGCAAACCGGGTCCCTCCAGCTCCCTGTCCTGTGCCCCCCAAGGCCACCCCCCCATCCCTTCGTGCCGGACGCGGTGGGGGGGCCTACGGGGCCTTTTCCTCCCACGCTGGCAGCTCTCCTGCAGCCTGGCACGATGCTTTGCTGCTCAGCGGCCGCTCAGGCGTCGCCTGTGGTTTTGCTCTGCGGTCCCCTCAGTTCTGAGAAGAGAGAGATGAAGAAAGCCGGCCGCGCCGGCTGGCATAATTGCTTCACGTCCTGAGGCTTGGTGATAAGCTGCCCTGGGGGCTGCGCCCCGGAGGCTGTGACCCCGAGGGGGCTACCGCTGCACTGTCGCCTCGTTCCCAGAGCCCCCGGCCCCTCCGCTTGCTCCCCTGGGTCAGGGCTTCTGGCCTGGCCCCTCCTCGCCTGCTGACCCCCGGCTTGGCACGGCCTGGGCTTTCCCTCCCCGTGATAAGGAGCCTGGTGCAAACAGCAGCAAGAATCTCTGTACAGGAGGCCGGAGCAGCGTGGGGCCCCCATGCACATCCCAGACATCTTAAAACCCCCCCCCCCGGGGCGGGGGGGGGGGTGTTAACCCTGCTTTGCAAATGGGGAAACTGAGGGAGAGGAAGTGACCTACCCGTGGTCACATAATGGATAAGAACCCAGGAGTCCGGACTCCAAGCCCCCGATGCTCTGACCCACTGGACCTCACTCCCCTCCCAGAGCCAGGGAGAGAACCCAGGAGTCCTGGCTCCCAGCCCGCCCTGCTCTAACCCACCAGCCCCCACTTCTCTCACAGATCCAGGGATAGAACCCAGGAGTCCTGGCTCCCAGCCCGCCCTGCTCTAACCCACCAGCCCCCACTTCTCTCTCAGATCCAGGGATAGAACCCAGGAGTCCTGGGTCCCAGCCCCCTGCTCTAACCACTAGATCCCACTCCCCTCCCAGAGCCGGGGAGAGAACCCAGGAGTCCTGGCTCCCAGATCCTCCCCCCTGCTCTACCCACTAGATCCCATTCCCCTCCCCGGGCCGTGGGAGCCTGGCACCCCCTCACGGGCTCTGTCTGCCTTTGTCTGCAGGTCAGTTTCCCGGACGTGGAGAAGGCCGAATGGCTCAACAAGGTGAGAGCGAAAGGGCGAGCACATGTCTGTCAGCCGTGGGAGGTGGGGAGGGCTTGCTCTGACCCCCAGCTAACACCCCTCCCCCCCCACGTGCCCCCTGCAGATCCTGGCCCAGGCCTGGCCTTTCTTCGGGCAGTACATGGAGAAGTTGCTGGTGGAGAACATCGCCCCCATGATCCGTGCCTCCAACACCCACCTGCAGACCTTCGCCTTCACCAAGGTCGACATGGGCGAGAAGGTAGGGCCCCCACCTCACCCCCAGCCCACATCTCCCCAGCCCTGGCCAGATGGCACCTCCTGGCAGCCCTGGGGGTCTGTCTGAGGCCTGCGCCACTTGGGGAGGGAGGGAATCTCTGCCTTGCTCCCTCCCTGCTGCAGCAGGAGACGGATGGAGCTTGGTGGGGGGGGGGGGCATCCCAGGGATGCACGGAGTCAGTGAGACCCCAGCCCTGTTAAAGCAGCCCCCCCCCGCTGAGCTTGGGGATGACCCTCCCCATCATGCGGGCTGGGTGCACGTCTGTTTCCTCAATTCGCCTGCAGCACGTGGCCTTGTTAAGCAGCTGCCACGTCCCACCCCAGAAGCAGCCGCATTTCAGGGTCAGAGCCATTCCGAGCCCTCTGGGGAGCTGGGATCTCAGTGCGGGGCGGGGCCTGCTCCGGTAACCGTCTGCCTCCTGCTTCCCTCCAGCCCCTCCGGATCATGGGCGTGAAGGTTCACACTGGCCAGAACAAGAAGCAAATCCTGCTGGACCTGACCGTCAGGTAAGAAGCCGGCTGCCTCCGCGCTGCCCCCTAGCAGCCAGCCCTGGCGGCGCAGCGCGGAGACTCGCCCGGGTGCCGAACGTGCTGGTTCTCAGCCTCTGGGCCGAGGGCCTGGTCGCAGGGGCCGGGAGGAGCCGCAGGGCCTGTCTGTGGCCAGCAGCCTCGGTCCTTAGGCCTGGCTGCCCTGTGCAGGGCCTGGCACCGTGGGGCAGCCAGCCCACAAGGAGGGTGGGGCTCTGCTAGGGAGAGGATGGGGGTCCCTGGTCTGGGGAGGGGCGTGCCGGCGTGCGAAGGGTTAAGCCGGGGGGCGCCCCTCATGCTCCCGTTTCCGCAGCTACGTGGGGGACATACACATCGACGTAGAGGTGAAGAAATTCTTCTGCAAGGCCGGGGTGAAGGGAATGCAGGTGAGATGTGCCCGCTGGCTGGGCCTGGCCTGGGCCCATGCGGGGGGGTGTGGGCGGATCGGGCACCAGCCCCCGCTGCGCTGCTGGGACGGGCACCAGCCAGGACCCAGCGCCTCCCACGCTCTTAGCCGAGGCCGAGAGGGTTGCTGGGATGGGGGAGCCGGTCGGGGGGAGCTGGGGGAGGAGTGGGGGGGTTGCTGGGGTGGGGGGAGCCAGTGGAGGGAGACCTGGGGGAGGCCTGGGGAGGGAGCCGGTGGAGGGGGAGCTGGGGGAGTCGTGGGGGGTTGCTGAGGTGGAGGAAGCCAGTGGAGGCATGGGGAGGCGTGGAGTTGCTGGGGTGGGGGAGCCGGTGGAGGGGGAGCGTGGGGGAGGCGTGGAGTTGCTGGGGTGGGGGAGCCGGTGGAGGGGAGCTGGGG